CCGGACATCCACAAAAGACCTCCTTCTCTTCTGTATCTCCGCGGAAAAATCAGGAAAGAAACGAAGTTGCGCATTTCCACAGCAGACATCAGGACATCTACGAACAGCAGCCAGGATCTTGTCTCTGTCCCTGTAATTCAGTAGACGAGCTAGTATAGCTGAGGTCCCCAAAGCCACAGGAACAGGCGTTTCAGGGTCCCCGGATATGGGTGTCCGTTGTAAGGGAACACTCACCCCCTCCACGCCATCTCCCTCCATGTCCAGCCGCTGTACAGGGGACACAGGAACGGAAGCCGGCGAGGTCAAGATGGCGCCGGCTGCACTCGCGCCTGGGCCCTTCGCCTTCCGAGCGGATCTCCAGAGAGCTGCAGCCTGCCGACGAGACTTGGCAGACATAGATCCACTCCCAGGTATGTCCTGCACAGGCCAGGTAACTTTTCAGGCACGGGGATCTCGTCAGGCCGGAGGAATATCAGGATGAGAGAAGGGAAGGTAACGGAGCTCCACCAAACACGTGTGATCCGCTTCACATCGTAGCCACGCCCCCCTCCCACGTGGCTTCCTTAATTGGATTTCCGGTAATGGTATCGGCAAGTACCGAAAAAAATATATCGGTACTCGATACCAAAAAAACAGTGTCGGCGCATCCCTAGTTATTGTCTTGACATCCTCACACTATGTTAAAAAAAAAGAAACAGGCCTGTGACTACTAAGTGGGCATTTCAGTGAGACTTCAGTCTTGGATGCTTAATGTCATTTTTTTGGCTTTGTAAAATCACCGGCTGTTTCACGATTGTCCTGAACATGAGCTTCACTGTTTCAGTTACATCTAGAAGTGAGATCTGTACTGTTCCAAACAGACGTTAATCCAGATGAGCGAGTTAATTGCCCATTTGTTGACAAACCAGCACGTCTGACGGTATGCAGGCAAACTAGGTTTCTCTAATCCCCTGAATCTGTGTATAGCAATAATCCTGTGCTTGGAGGATCAGGCCGATCTATCCGTAATCCTGGTTGAGGGCTTTCAGTTTTCTCCCCAGTCGGGGGGCTTGGCACATGCATTGATGAAAGCAAATCCCTATTCTGCTACCTTAAACTGTTGGCAGCAGGATGATGGGTGCCATGAGATGTCCAGACCCTTCTGTCTTATATGCATAAGCCGAACTCTATACAATATAAAAGTATATCAGTCAAAGGTATTCACATGTGGTGCTGCTCTGGCAGGTTTTACACCTCTCTGTGCCATTCAAATCTAGTGTCTAAAAATAGAATACAGCTGAATATACTGACAGTAGATACAGAAGAGGTAAAGCAATGCATTAAAATTCACCCACCTGTGCTTTATGACTGTATAGTGTAAATCACTTGCAGATTCTGTACACTTGTTGCGGTCTTCTTCTTCGTGCTTGCTATTGAACATCACCTCTTTAAGTAATGTCTTCCCTGGGCTAGTTACAAAGGTTGCCACTGAGCACTTTCCAGGTCCAGAGCCATTAACATTGCCTCAGCGTTATCCCTATTGCTGATGACTCAACTCTGACTAGGCCGATCAGGCTCAGCAGTGGGAGCGACCTCATTTGTCCAGATTGCTGGGCGCATTTGGAATCCCCACTTTCTGCCAGTTGCTATCACAGGAGGGTTTAATGCTGATGGGCTGAGCGTTGATGTCATCTGCTGGTGGAGTTCTGCCATTCAGGGTTGAGGGAGGTTTACATTGCCTTACCACCACGGGGTTGTAACATGTGTAAGTCTAGATAAGGGACTCTCCCGCTGTACCTTGTGCCCTCAGCTCACACTCCACTGACTGCTACTCTGCTCCTTGCAGCCTATCCTATGCTGGAATCTACCCCATCTTTGGTGTCTACCTTAGCGCCATCATGTGTACCCAGCTCCTCTGCCCTCTCACAAGAGGTTTTTAATACAGTTGTGCATAACATTACGGCTCAAATGTCCCAGTTGCGGAACCTAAACACAGGTCACAAGATGCTCCCGCCACTTGCCCTTCAGATTTTGTATCTGATCTGCCCCCACCCTTAGTGGCCTCCAAGCCATCGGCCTGCTTAGGCTCTGCCTGATTCTTAGTCTCTCCAGTCCTTGCCGGAAAAACTTGCCACCGAGTCAGTTTGTTTGCCAATGCTTTGTTTGATTCCTATTGATACAGTGCAAGGGAAAGGAGTCACCTAAAACAGGATATTAGGACCAGTGCTCGGGGACCAGCTGATTCTGTAGGAAACTAAAAGTCTTAGACATCAAGGAGCAGCATCCATTCTAAGTGATTTAATCAGCATACATGTACACCTGCCGCATACTTCCAGTGCTTCCTGCACTTTGCTGTGGGTTTCCTGCAGGCCTCTCCTCTGCACCCCAGGTGATCACCAAAGTGCTGACCCCAGTACTAGCCCATAGGCCTGTCATTCATCCTCTCCTCTGCACCCCAGGTTATCACCAAAGTGCTGGCCCCAGTATTAGACCTATTGCACTCTTGTGGCATCCCCATTGAGGGATACCTGGATGACCTCCTCTTGAGGGAAACGTCGGCACAGTTGTTCAGTCATTACAATGGTTTAGATGGATCCTGCACCTTCAGAAATAAGCGCTGGAACCAGCTTGAAATGTTTTTTTTGGGGTCTAGTCCTAAACATACCTCTGGCTAGAGTTTTTTCCCCCCCTGGAAATCTTTAAACTTTCCACTTCCAGGCTCTTGCTCTTTAGTCCAGGAGAGTCATGGGTCTGATGGTAGCATCCTTTGAGGCCCCTAGAACACAATATTCTGTAGTTGTGGAACAAATCAGTCCAGTCCTTGGACAGACCATCGCGAAAACATATTTTTGCGAGTTTTCCGCTTCTCTGTATCCCCCGGGATCTCGCCGGATGGAGTCTGATGTCATCCTTACCCGGGGGCGGAAGGCAAGTATAAATCTTTCTTCTTTACAGGTACATTTTGCATGTTGTAACATTGCATAATTTTTAATCATTAAACATACTGTATATATTTTAATCCTTAGACTATAATGAGCACTTGACCCTTGTGGTGCTGGAATGGCCCCACTGCAAGGGTTAAGTTTCACATTGCCTGGAGTCCTTTTTTAAGCTGAGTGCCTCTGCCTTCAGGCATTGTTGCACGCGTTTCAGGCTTGACTGTTTTTTTTTCTAATTGATTTTAGCCAATAGAAAACTAGTCACTGGGCATTTGTTCAAGCGCTCCCATTGAAGTCTATTGGGGCCAGAACATGCAACGCTGAGGTGTGAACGGCCACTACTGAATATAATGTTAATCCCGGTGTTGATCTTTGAAGCGCTTCTGGTGAAGCTTCAAATCGTTCCAGTGTGAATGTGGCCTAAGTGCTCAGTCACGTTGTACCCATATGGTAATGGGTGGTAGAACACGTTTTCCTGCGTGGTACCACAACATTCATATTGATGACACTGGAATGCACAACGCACAAGTCTAACGCTGCTTTGTGCAGTGTGCTATGGCATGTTGGCTGCCCGTCCAAATAAATGAGCTGCCTTAACAGTCCATGCAACGTGAGCATGTAAGATGCCTTAAAGGAGAACTATGGGGTTAGGGCTTTTCCCCATAGTTCTCCTTAGGGTAACGGGAGAACACAAACTAGCGTCCTCCCGTCACCCTAAGCTCAGTATACCGCGAGCTACAACTCGCGGTATACTGAGACGCCGCAGCTGAAGCAGGTCCGACAATTCTGTCTGGATCCGCCCAGCTGCGTGACAGTCAGCTCTGGAGGATTGGAGCGGGAAGGGGGGAATCCAGCCCCTCCCCTGTCACGGCAGAGAGCTGTGACAGGATCGAGAGGTGAGCGAACGCCGGTATGTGTTCGCTCACTTCCCGATCTACTGAGCCGACCTGTGACAGTCTCATTGTCACAGATCGGCTAGAACTATGAGGTGAGTGAAACGCACTCACCTCATAGTTCTACTTTAAGGCTGCTGAAACAAAGAGCATTTTCTTCAAACTCAGCCAATAACTGACTGCTGACTGAAAGATGAGGCGTGTTCAGTTCCTTAGCCAAGCGCAGAGTAGCTGTTCTGCAGAACTTCAGTACCCTGCAGCAGCTTCACTGAACACATTTGACTAATCAATACCATTTTCCAATGAATATTTGGTGTGATCGTCCACCAAAACATCAAATTGTAGGTTCCCACACTGAATTGGTTTTCTCCATTGCTGGTTCAGACACCCTTCTCCAGTGCTGCCAGGTTCGCCCACAGTTAAAATGGCCACCGGTGCTCTGTCCCCACCTTCTCCATCACACCCACTTCCACTGCGAGCGCTGACTTGGAGTACAGCATTCAGCGGCGGTTTGCTAACTCGGCACTCGCAGCGGCTGAGTAACTGAACACGCCAAGTGTAATAAACAAGGCAAGTGTAAGCAGAACATTGGAAGAAATAGCCCAGTTTCCATGTAGGACATTAAAAAAATCAGTAAAGCAGCCCTACAATTCTGACTCGACTAAGGTGTGGGCTCCCCTAAAATCATTCCCACAGCCACACACTAGGAGCAGCAGATACACGGCCACAGCTTGTGCCGCATTTTCCTATATACATACAGACAGCAATAAATTATTATAGTCAACTACTAGGCTGAGACTAATCCAGCATGTTATTAATCTGAGTTGCCCCACTCAATATGGCCACCAGAGTCAGGCAAGCGTTCTTCCGCGCAGGCGCAGTAAACAGAATTGGCGAACGCGATAAGGCTTCTAAAGCTGCACAGGCGCAGTGAAGTGCATTGGCGAACTCAATAAAGATTAGGAAGACGCAGCTGGCGGCGATTGCGCACTCACCACCTCGTCCAAACCGCTTTGGCAAGTCAACCAGACGTGACGTGTTGGAGTAGCAATATGGTGGTTGCTTGCTGACATTGCGAGTGTACCAATATGACGTCTAGCACCTTTCGGGAGATCACCAGAAGGTGTAGCAAGATGGCGGCGCGTAGATTTCCGCTGCGTCTGAGAGGAAGTAGTGTGGGAGGAGTAAGATGGCGGCGTCCTGTAGTGCTTCCCAACAGATGCTAACCGAGAGCTCGGAGGGAGATGCGGAGAATGAGGGGAACAGGGACGACAAAGGTGAGCTCAGTCTATGGCTGCAGACCGCATTACCTGATGAGAAGAGATTGGAGCCAGACAAGTTCCTTCTAAGGGGATCAGGTTTATTTGTCATTTGTAGCAGTGTTTACATGGCTGCCTGCTGCCCTCCTGTACAAGAGGGATTGCTCTCCATTTTTAGTAGTGTTTATATCGCTTTATCTCAGAGGAAATAATGACTGGTAAAGTATTAGTCTCCTAATGACCACAATCTTACTTTATAAGTCCTAATGTAAAATCCTGCTTGCCATTAGAATGTTAATTACCTTGCAGCAGAGAACTAGAAATGTGTATTCTCCTACACACCTGGCCTGTGTGTGTTCCTAGTTCCCAGACTCGCTGTCAATTAGAAAGTGTAGTCATGGGGTCATTGTCAAGTCAATGCGGACCTTTTACTGCCCCCCCCGGCGCAAAATATATGGAGGGGGGAATTTATCAAAACCGAGCACTGCCCCTGGCAACAAATCACGGAGAAGCTGATTGATTGCTATTGGCAACTGCTCCATATCACCGCTGTGTACTGTGAAAATTGTACTGCACAAGCGTAGTCAGCGCTATGCCTCCAGTACTGTGCCTATGAGAGCTGCAACGTTCAGGGCTAGTTCACACCATAACTGCATGCTTCTGCGCAGCTGCAGTGCAATGTGTTTTGCTGCGATTGTACAGCAGGTTTTTTTTAACCTAAAATGGGCTTTCAGTTGCATTTTGCTATGTATTTTGATGTGTTCTGTTGCGCTCAGGTGCAGCTAAAATGAGACAAGCAGGATTCTTTCTGGCTGCATCGGAACGGACTGCACTGGTGTGAACAGAGCACCAGAAATCCCATTGGAAAGCATTGTGGCACGATTTTGATGCCGCTGCCGAACTGCATCTGGTGTGAACTAGCCCTCATACAGAGCAACGATCTTGTCATTTTTACGCTCTTCCTCAACCCTTGTCCATTTAAAGAATGCTGTGTAACCTAGCTCCCACAACCGCAGGGCAGATCTTCCTGGGGGTTTTGTTGTACTGCGCCAGGAAGGTAGTCATACTGAGGTGGAGACAGAATGCACCACCCACTATCTCGGACTGGAAGGGCCTAGTAAACTCCTACCTAAGTCTTTATAAGGCTACATATCAGAGCAGAGGATGCCCAAATAAGTTCACAAAAGTGTGGGGACGCTGGGTAGAATCTGCAGACACAGCGGGTTGAACGGGCTGCACTCTCGCCTGGGAAGGCATCAGGGTTAATGTATGTGATGGATTGGGATACTCTGTATAAATAATTTTTGAATATGTTCACTGTTGTTACTCTGTACAATATGTAATGCTGGGTATTATACTGGCACTCTGCGGGGAGGAGGTGGGGGGTGGGGAAACACACGCCTTCTGGAGGGGGGGTAGTGTGGGGTTTATGTTTATGTTTTTTGGTAAGGAATTGCCCATAGTTGGGGATAATTGTAATGGATAGGATTGTTGCACTATATGTGTGCTTTCACGGCTGTGAGAGCGAATGTTGTAAAAATGTGTTCTTAAACAAAACTTTAATAGAAAGAATTTATAAAAAAAAAAAAAAAAAGAATGCTGTGTATTCTGTGAGGGGAATATAAATGAAATTTGTTTATGGGAATTGGAAATATGCCTTTGCCTGAACTTTGCAGAATGAATGACAGAGCAGCGATACGGACGTGGGAAAAACAACCTCAACCTCAGTTTTCCCAACAACATACTTCATAAAAACATCTCTCAACTTCTGCTGTAATCCATGGTCCTCCTTGCCGGTTCCCTCTGTGAGAACTGGTTCCCAAAGCCGTTTCTCTCGCCAGCGTCATCGCTTACAATACAGGAGCGGTGTGATTGTACCCGATAACATAGGCGTGCCTGCCATCATTCCTGCACACTAAGGATGCACCAATACCAATACTAGTATCGGTGCCGAGGTCGTGTAAATGCTCCGATACCTGAGCTGCCGGTATTGGGAAGCCAGGCAGTGAGTCACGCTGCCTGGCTTCCTGATTGGCCGGGAAGCCGGCTCACCTGGTGACGAGGAAGCATGGGGACGCCTTTCCTGCTAATCAGGAAGCCGGGTGGCGAGTCTTTACACGCGGCCTGGCTTTACAGCTAATCAGGAAGCCAGGTGGCGAGTCATTACACGCTGCCTGGCTTCCTTAATGGGACTTAAACGGTATCGGTGCATCCTTACTGCACACAATAGATCCCTATAGATGTCCGACCCTCAAAGTTTTCTTTCCCCTTTTTTATTTTTTCAGATAACGGCCAGGAATACAGCCCAGAAGGTTCAGCTGAAAACAATGGCAGTGATAAGCCTTGTTATGAGGAGCAGATTGAAGCCAATGGCGAGGGCAGTAAAGTGCTGGAAAATGCTCTGAAAGAGGCAAAACGTTTGGGAAGCCGTGAAGACCCGGTAATCCAGGATCCATCAGATGTGAGCGGACCTCTCCTGGATGTGTTCATTGCAGTCATCGAGAGCCATGTACCCATCCGAAGTCAGCAGATAGGAGAGCCAGAGTTCAGCCATGAGCAGAAGATGTCCATACTGCTCGACTTGTACCAGTCCAAGCCAATCATCTTTCTGGAGCGATTCCGAAAAGTTCTTAAAGATGAACATCTGCAGTGCTTCAGCCAATTGTCCGGTGACTACACTGCCGACTTTTACTTCAAGGAGATCCGCAAAGCTTCTCTGAAGAAAGTCAATCACACACGAGTCCGCAACAAGAGATACGCTGCCCTGCAACAGCTCATTTCAGGTATGGCTTATGGTCCGTTGTAGACCCATCCCAGATGGAGGGCGGCAGTCTTTAGTGCTGCTGTAGGTGAGTGTGATGTAGCTGCAGAACAGTATAGCTTGGCTGCTTAGGTTGGTGGTGGGACGGGGGTGTTGATCTGTGGCTCTGTACGTGCAGTGGTGGCAGAGAGTTAGTTGATTATATTAGGAGGAATTTTTATATAGCTTCATTGGGATGGAGCGCAGCACATCATGGGGACATATAGACACGCCGGGTGGCGTGTAATGACTCGCCAGCTTGCTTCTTGATTAGCCTGGAAGCCATTTCCATGTTTCCTTGTCACCAGGTGACGAGGAAGCATGGAGCCGGCTTTCTGGCCAATCAGGAAGCGGGGGGCGTGTGATGAATTGCCGCCCAGCTCCATGCGTCACCAAAAGACGAGGGAGGGAGTCATTACCTGCCCCCCAGCTTCCTGATTGGCCTGGAAGCTGGCTCCATGCTCCTGGGTGACTAGGGAGAATAGAGCTGGCTTCCGGTCCAATCAGGAAGCCAGGCAGAGAGTAATGACTCACCACCCGGCTTCCTGATATCAGAAGTTCCAGTATCGGGATAGGCATTGGGAGCATTTTGGCGAGTACGAAAAACATTGCCATTGTTTTTTCAAATAAAATGATTATTCCACCTTTTCTAATCTCCGTTTTGATGAACTGCTGCAGCCTCGTCCTGTACTTGCATGCATTGTAGCCAATGGCTGCATGTCATTTATTTAGCAGATGACAGAGAAACAATGCAGGAGCACAATTGGAAGGCAGGGACGGAGTGTTCCAATCCAAGATATCACCAGCACACCATGTTCAGATGAAAAGATAGGACACTTTATTGTCTCCAATAGGAAGCAACATATCAAGGCCACTAAAGACCTCTTTCTCAGGCAGCAGTGACAATGAGTTTGTAATTGTGTCTGAATGCTGTAAGGAATGTGCTGGGTTTCTTGGATTTAGGGTAGGGATGTTCAGATGCCATTACATTTTTGTTCAGGGTCATGCGATAGTGTTTCTAAAACAATACAGACTAATGATTTCAGGACAGTGGTGGAGCGCCAGGGCCAGGTCTCAGCTGCAACCCTGGTAGTTCACGTATTGGCACTGGCATCTAACATCCCTATCTATCTATCTATCTATCTATCATCTCAAATCATACAATAAAACAGAGATGTAGAAATCCCAGGAGTCCTGTATGTTCCTTAAAAATTACAGCTGCCTCCTAACTTTGGAATGTTTCTCTAGTCTAGTCTTGGAGCTGGAAAGTATCTGTACATGTACTTTTACCAGGTACGGTGCTTGGTATCTGAACATCTCTAATTTAGGGACATAGCGTTGTTGCCCCATAACAGCATGAACAAGGATCTCGAGGTGTTATTTTAATGAAAGTTGCATATACTGTTGGAGTTACATGAACATGTTAATGCTTCTATGAGATTTTAGTGATCAGGTTTACAAATATTTACCATAAAAGTCTGGGAAGAATGTGAATTCTCAGCGGTGACACTTGTGCTTGTTTCCTTTCTAGCTGGTGAGTATTTCAGCGATGAAGAGATGCGGCTGCGAGACCCTCTGATGTATGAACACTATGTGGGCCAATACCAGAGTGAGGAGGAGATCATGTCGCAGAATAGTCGGGATTTGTCTCAGGCCACCAGTCTGTCTGATGTATTTCTTAACTCCTGCCAGGAGCAGATCATACAGAGGAAGCTGGAGGTGCAGCGTGAACTGGAGGAGAACTGCGAGGAGGAGGAAGAGGAGGAAGACAGTACAGAGGAGGAGGAAGGTTGGTTCACTTATGTAGCCATTTATTTATTTATGTATGTAGACAGGACTAGTGATACTTTACTTCAAAATCCTTTTCAAGCATTTATAAGTGGAGACTTATGCTCAAATGTTTATATAAAAAAGTAACAGTTTTTCTGGGATGGATTAAAATGAATAGAATGGCTACAATTCTTAGGTTTTTAGATTATTATTATTATTATTATTATACAGGATTTATATAGCGCCAACAGTTTGCACAGCGCTTTACAATATAAGGAAGACATTACAATACAATTCAAGACATTTCACTTATGTAGCCATTTATTTATTTATGTATGTAGACAGGACTAGTGATACTTTACTTCAAAATCCTTTTCAAGCATTTATAAGTGGAGACTTATGCTCAAATGTTTATATAAAAAAGTAACAGTTTTTCTGGGATGGATTAAAATGAATAGAATGGCTACAATTCTTAGGTTTTTAGATTATTATTATTATTATTATTATACAGGATTTATATAGCGCCAACAGTTTGCACAGCGCTTTACAATATAAGGAAGACATTACAATACAATTCAAGACAAGATGGTAAGGAGGGCCCTGCCCCTGAGGGCATACAATCTATAAGGCCGGGGCAAGTGATGCATGAGGAGGTAGCTGTGTGTAGATAAATTCTTTGAGAACGTGATGATCAACTGCTTCTTCAGGCTCACGTGTAGAGTCCTAGGTATTTGGTCTTGTGATTGATGCTGAAGGTAAGGATCAGCTAAGCTTAATTTTAGAATTGATCTCTTGACCAGAGAACATATGATCAACAGCTTTCAGACATGTGGCCAGCACTGAAGGGAGCCTAGAGCATAATTTTCACCAGGAAACGTGTTCCAATCTTTTTTGTTACTGCTTTTTAATTCGGGAAATTTTTTTTAACATAATTTGAACTTTTTGGGTATTGGACCATATGGCTTTAAAGAGAATCACTTTGCCCATTCAGATTTCTTTGGAAAACCCACAACTGCCCACCGATTCTCACTTTTACCTCACTCATCTGTCTCTCTGTTCCTTGCCGGTGCTTCTCTGTTAGGAGGTAGCATGTGACCTGATTGGCTAGCAATCAGGCCTGAACAGTGACACACGAGGGAGAGGAACAGGTCATCAAACCTGTGTAAGCACTAATACATACTGATACTGAGCTTACATGGGGTTTAGGCCCACAGCTCTGCAGAGAAGCTGTCATTTTGCCCTGAATAGTGTTTTCACATTTGTTGTTTCCATTGTACTGTCTTAATATCCCATCATGTAAAGATGGAGCTGCACATCAACCTGTGGGTGCACACCGACATGAAGCTTCTACATGTCCTTCCAGATTTCATGTCATGTTCTTTTTTTATATCTGTGATCTCCAAGTTACAGTTTTCTCGTCTCTCCCCCAGAATCTGAACTGCAGTCCGATGATGAGCACACTGTGGACAGTGAAGAGAGGGCTCTGATGCGGGAAGAATTCATCAGTCGCATGTACCAGAGCTTTTTGGACGGAAAAGATAAAAATTTTGACTACAGGTAATATGCAAAAACTAACTCTTGCAATGTATGTTAAAGGATCAGTTCATCCAAAAGAGATGGAGTCTGGTGGGAAAAGCCAGCCCCTGGCTTCTTATGTCTTTTATACTCGAACAGTGAGATATTATTGACCATTTGGGAGTGTTGGTTGTTCCTACCTTCATTTGAGTGTTCCATTGCCTCTTGCTGCATCTACCATAATATAAAATACATTTTAAGAAATCCAACAGGACACCTCCATAATGGCCACAGACACCCTTCCCATAATGGTCAAAGCAGATGTGGGAGCTGAGAAGTTAAGGAGGACCTGAACTGTACCTAAAAAGGCAAGCAGAGGACAAAAGGCTAAGCACCAGCATTGCCTGGAAGCTCCCTGTTGCTGATCTTTTCTGCAATATGGATCTGCAGTGCCTTGTTCTGCACGAAGACTCTGTGTGCAGGCGGCAATCCTGGTAGAGGTGCAGCCCTTTACATAGTTACATAGTATTTGAGGTTGAATAAAGACATTAGTCCATCAAGTCCAACCTATAGGATCTCATTCCTAGGAGTACCCGTACCCCTGTTTTGGGTTGCCCTCCGCTGGACTTTTTCCAACTCGAGGACATCTTTCCTGGTACTGGTGACCAGAACTGGACCGCATACTCCAGATGAGGTCGAACCAATGATCTATAAAGTGGCAAAATTATAGACTTGTCCCTGCAATAGATCCCCCTTTTAATACAGGACAAGACACTGCTAGCTTTGTTTACAGCAGCCTGGCACTGCAAGCTACCTTTCAGTTTGTGGTCTACAATGAGCCCCAAATCTCTCTCCATTTCTGACTTCCCTAGCGGCATACCCATAATTGTATAACCCATTTTTTTTTTTATTATTGCAAAGTGCATTACTTTGCATTTATCAACATTAAACCTCATCTGCCACATTAATGCCCACTCCCCTATTTTATCCAGGTCCTCCTGTAATGTTATAGTGTCTAAGTCCGTGTCTATTACCCTCCCAATGGAGGCCTTTGCTCCATAATGTATGGAGCAAATTATGGAGCCCTTTGCTCCATAATTTCAGAGCCCCCACCCCCAAAGACAGGAGGTCTAATGACTGATGAAGAATAATCAAGCAGCAGCAGATAAGGTGGAGGAAGCCAAGATCCACAGAAATAATGAAGCAAAAGCAGGAAAATGCTTGCACTGCAGATCCTCAGGCATAGCTTCCTCTCCAGCAATGAGAACAGTGAGCAGCACAGAGGTGACATCATGAAATTTCACCCCAAATCTGGAAAGAGTAGACATCAGAGGCAGCAGTGTCTTTAGATGATCTCACTCTGCAGATATACAGCTATGAGGCTGCAGACACAGGAAGTGCTCTGCTATTTTAAAGGAGGAATTCAACACAAAAGGTAAACTTTTCAGGCTACTGCATTGGCACAATTAACATTCCTAGATGGTAATAACTGCGAATATTCACTATTTCAGATCAGATCCGCTTTAATTGCAGACATTCCACTGGTAGAGTCCACCCGAGATATAAGAATTTGTCAGGTCATGGAGCCATTATTTAAAATGATAAAAATATCTGTCCTGGCCCTAGCAGAATGTAAACACTTTTTTTGTTTTGTTGCCAGAATCCTTTCTTGTACAACTCTGTGCTTGTTGAAATGTCTCTTGCTGAGACTCTTCCCTTGTATTGTATTGCTTTTGTTCCTCTTTATAGCTTGGTAGGAGGTGATGTGAAGCAGAATAGGAAGCAACATCAAAAGCCATGCAGCCTGGAGTCGAGGCTTTCCCTACTATATCATTTTATGATATTTCTTTCCCTACTATATCATTTTATGACATTTCAGTGTATGCCTTCCTCTACTTACAAAAGATTTTAGAGTAGTAGTAAATATTTTGGAGTAGTAGCGTGGCACATTTGCACCTCTTGAAACCAACATTGTTACAAAAAAAAGTACTTGAATCACTTTTACTAATCCAATCCATGTGTGGTTTGCTTTTTTGATAGTGAAGTCGATGACAATCCGGATTTTGACAACTTGGACATTGTCACACGAGATGAAGAAGAACGGTATTTTGATGATGACGATGGTGGTAATGAAGCTATGGAAGGAATTGATGCAGAGGAAGAGCGAAGAGAGGGAGGACAGAATATGGATAGCTGTGTGTGACTGATTGACTTGCCTAGTAGTTGTTAGTCACATGAACTGAACTTGTTCCGTAATGTTGAAGATGGTTTGCTGCTCATTCATCGAGCTTCCTCCGCTCTAATGACTGTCAGGAATATGCTTTGGGAATGTTCCCAACACTCGCTGAGGAAATTACTTAAATGAGCATCAAAATATCTTCAATATTACTGAATGAGTTGAGTTGATTGTGACTATCTACTACTAGGTATACTAGACCTGATTAAATGAGAACCTTCTCAGACCATGAGATTGCCTTATGCAGCTTCATAAGCTGCTCACGTTCTGGTGTCTGGATATATATGAGGACCCTACAACATCGCCCAGCTGTCATCATGAACAGTCTCACCCTCTGGTGTTCTCAGAGTGAAAAGATATGTGATGGCCACGAGATGGCAGCAGATTCCAAGCTGTGATTCCTGTCTGTACTTTGCAGAGGTCTATAGAAGAAACTGGTTTTATTGTCACACCCTTCTCTGTGTTACACATGCAGACATCTATAGGCACCAGGTGCTCATAAAGATATTTTGGCAATTTATAGGTAAACTGGGACTTGTTAACACACGGAGCAGACTGTATCAGTCACCAATGCAGTGTTGTTAAAGGAAGAGAGAGCTGCTGGCCGTTCACTGATTGTAGAATATGTTGGATGAACTTTGAACTGTTCGCTGTTTTTTTTTTTTTTTTATTTCTGTTAATCTTCTATCCGGGATAAAATTTCTGCTTAAATATTTAGGAGATGAAAGTTGAATTTGATGAGTATTTGTTCTGCGCTAAAGCTAAAACAGTGTTCAGGTCCCAGCAGCAGTTTGTGTTTTATGGATATGCGCGCAGGTGAGTAAATTGTATTGCTGAAACATTAAAGTAAATGAAAATCCTAAGTGAATGACATTCAGTTTGGTAATGCAGTGTGTATAGAAATAAAGAGGAACGTTACCCGTATCTTCAAAACCACAATAAAGGCACCTTTAGAAATGTTTAGTAATGACAATCTACATACAGATACCTCTAGACAAATGCTGGATTTGTGTTCTTTGCATATCTTATTTTTCTTTTCTTCCCCATTCGTCTCACAGTGGCCATTTTAACTAAGGGCAGATTACTACCTCTCCCTCTACTTCCTGGAACACTGGCACACGTGACTAGGACATGTGACCGTGCACATCATCTCGGGGGAGGAAAATGCCTTTTCCTGAGATCTAATGAGATTACATATGAGATTTCCCAGCAATGCTCTGCTGATGTAACCTTCCCAGGATGCAACGCTTGGGCACAATTACATCATTTGTGCCAAGTAGACCAGGAAGTGGAAAAATAAGAAATTGTAAGTCAAATAAAAATAGCAAATCTCATCTGTAATCTCAAGGAAAACCATTTTTCTCCCCTGAGATGATGTGCATGGTCACATGTCCTGGTCACGTGCCAGAGTTCCAGGAAGTGAAGTGAGATCTAGTAATCTGCCCTTAGTTAAAATGGCCACTGTCAGAAGGAAGAAAAGAAAAATAAGGTATGCAAAGAATAAAAAGCCGGCAATTATGTAGAAGTATTTAAACATTTCTCAGAAGCTTTTGTTGTAATTTTGAGGATAAGGGTAAAGTTCCTCTTTAAGAACACGTAACTAATGTATGTTTATTGGCAGTGATACTCAGCACTGTAAAACATGGCTTATAGGACTTTTTTTTAAGAGGTCCGGTATTGTACGTGTTTTGTTGAATTGCTCCAATTTCATAAAAGTCCAAATAAAACACTTGACTGAAAAAATAGGAACCCATTCTGAGAAATGCCATGCAGCCTCTACTGTTTATAGAGACAGGAAGTGGCTGCAAAAAGAATGCAGATCAGCAGCACGGAGATGCAAAAGGTGAAAACACGTTTTAGCTTTTAAATGCAATTGTTTATGATATACACTGCTTTAGCAAACATGTCATTTAGTTTGGATTTACATCTACTTTTATCTGTTTTTTGTGATAGTTTATGTCTTAAAACAGCCTCTAGATGGAGCCGTAATGCACAGTTCTGCTGTAAGCCCATTAGGAGGTGTCGCATTTTGATACTTAAGGGCCATCATGTCTCTTGTTGATTGCCACTTGACTTGAGTTGCTGTTTAGACATTTAGGACAGGTGGAAGCTGCGTGATGTGGCGCCCAGGCTTTAGTGATGTCTCTCGGGCACAGACGTTGCTGAATGTGTCCAGCATAGTTCAGCTTGCTGACATTACATGAGCAGCAATGTGTAAAGTCATGTCAGACAGAAGAATCCCTTCAGAACTCAGCAGTGCAGCATTGGTGCCTCTGTACAATGAGAACCACTCCGGACAGACTGATAGCCTCTGCAAAGGAAATATAACCTTAAAGGAAAATGTTCATGTTCAGAAAATGTAAATATGAATAGTCTAGCATTTTGTATAATAAAAAGCAGCTTTTGTGGCAATATTTACTTTCAGTCCTGCACTGTCCCCCGCAGCAAGCTCCTCCTTTGGCCACTAGACACTGCTCCTCTTCTGGGTTAAACAACGGCAGCCAGCATCATTCAACCCACTTCCGGTGATTGCTGTTCTTCCCACTGACACCAACAATGAGGCACTATTCTTCCCACTGACACCATTAATGGGGCACTATTCCTCCCACTGACACCAATAATGAGGCACTATTCCTCCCACTGACACCAATAATGGGCCATTATTCCTCCCACTAACACCAATAATGGGGCATTATTCCTCCCACTAACACCAATAATGGGGCATTATTCCTCCCACTAACACCAATAATGGGGCATTATTCCTCCCACTAACACTAATGATGGGGCATTATTCCACTGACACTTATGATGGAAAGCTATTCCCCCCACTGACACCAATGATGGGAAGCTATCCCCCCCACTGACACCAATCATCGGACACTATCCCCCCCACTGACACCTCACCAATAATGGGGCATTATTCCTCCCACTAACACTAATGATGGGGCATTATTCCACTGACACTTATGATGGAAAGCTATTCCCCCCACTGACACCAATGATGGGAAGCTATCCCCCCCACTGACACCAATCATCGGACACTATCCCCCCCACTGACACCAATCATCGGACACTATCCCCCCCACTGACACCAATCAGCGGACACTATCCCCCCCACTGACACCAATGATGGGGAACTATTCCTTCCACTAATACCAAAGATGGGGCATCGTTCCTCCCACTGACACCAATGATCGGACACTACAACCCGCCCCCCACTGACACCAACAATAGAACCCCAATGATACCAACAAAGGGGAACTATACTTCTGATACCAATGATGGGGCACTATTCCTCCCACTGACACCAATGGAGGAGCACTATTCTCCACACTGAGGCCAAAGATTGGGGCACTATTCCTCCCACTAACACCAATGAAGGAGCACTATTCCACACGCTGAGACCAACAATTGACCCCACTGTTCCCAACCCTGGAGCATTTGTGTTCCCACTCACCTCTGATGCGAGGACATTATCTCCCACTGCCCAGATCTGCTACTTGTGCTCAAGATTGAAAACTAATTCCCAGCAGGAATTTGCGGCCAGCAGCATGTGGAAATATAAGAGGGGGCCATATTTTAAATCTGAATTATAATCTGCGTACATTTAGGAGCCTTGATGCCACAATCATCTAAAGCTCTTGTAGGAAAACATTGACAGAAGAATAATTGTACTGGGGAGCCACTTAACCAAGAACAAAAACCAGGCAAGGAAATAGATGATTTTGGCATATTCATTTAAACGAGAATTGAAGCCCAACTTCGGGCAAACTCTTTTTTATTATTTTAAAGCCCAACAGTTTTTTGGTTTTCCTTTCTTGGAAATGCTTCCTAGCCTGTCGATCGCTCCCATGATGGAGTACAATCTCTTAGTCCGTACTGGTCATGTTAGTCCGTACTGGTCATCTTTGTCTGTACTGCTCATTAGGATTGGCAATTGCGGGGAAAAAAATCGGATTAGTTTGATTTCGGATGCATGCGAATGTCCGAATTTAAAGAAATTCGTCTTAATTTCAGTTTGGGAACTTACACGTCTTCTAATTTTTCTGTACTTGCAGCGTGACTCCACCCTGACAGCCTCCAATACCATGACAGTTGTCTCTTATACCAACTTGGTTAAGACTTTAACCCCTTCATGACTGAGGCCCTTTTTTCATTTTTTGCACCCATGTTATATTCCACATTTTAGGCCTGAAAATGACGTAAAACCCCCCAACATTATATATTTTCTGAATGCCAAGACCCTATAGAATAAAATGGTGGTAGTTGAAAATTTTTATGTTGCGCAATATTAGCGCAACTCCTTATTAAACCCCAAAATTTAGTGACAAATTTAATGAAATGCCCCAAAACAACAAAATACCCATTTTTTTAATGAAATAGTTCACACCTAGGCGTATTGCATATGCGCGTCTGTCGCACGTTTTTTTACGGCGATTCGCGGTAAAAAAGTTGCGCGACCTGTCGCGCGTTTCCGAAGGCTACTTGGCTGTATCCCAATGGAAATGCGCAACAAAACGGCCCAAAGTAGTACATGTACCTTTTCAGGCGTGGGCCGTTTTGTAGCGCGTTAGGGACGGGCGGAAATACGCCAAGGTGGGAACGAGACCATTGAATACAATGGGATTTATATTTTTTAGCGTTTTGTATAGCGTTCGTTGATCGTAGAACGCGCTACAAAACGTTCAGCTGTGAACGAGGGCTAAGATGCAGCTAAAGTAGGACAAGCAGTACTTTTTCTGACTGCATCTGCAATGGTGTGAATACAGCATGAGAAAGCCCATAGGAAAGCATTGTGATGTAATTGGCTGCAGCAGTCAAACTGAACGGACTGCATCACAACTGCACATGGTGTGAACTAGCCCTGAAAGAATCAAAGCGATGACAGGCTGAGGTGATTTTAGGATGAGACATGCTTTTGATGGTGTATGAGCACATGGGAAACATCTCTGACTCTACCGGCGAGAATGGGAAGGTGAGATTTCACAAGAAAGACCTAAAATAGCCGATTTACAGTTAGTGC